TATTTTTCTTTAGGCTTATTTTACAAAAGCACAAAGATTTGTTTTTATTGTGAATGTACACAAATAAAGGCAAACCTTTTACAATTCCGATTATCTTTAGGACTAAAAGGAGTAGTTGCTTCCACTGTTAGAAGGAAAAAACTTTATTTTTTTAACTCGGTTAAGCTTTGCTACCTTGACAATGCAACCTGTTCATTAGCATAATAAAATAGTCAGTCAAACATATGGAAAAAATATGTAGTAAAATCTGTGCCGTTAAGTGTTATCACCGCACCGCCGTGATGTTATGCAAAACATTTAGTTTTACGTGGATATTGGAACGCGAGTGAAGCGTAGGCTACATAATAAATAATAATTTGCCATTCAGATACATCGCGAATACGGAAACATTTGATTTTGTGTGGAATGAGAGACGCAACATTGGTTTCAGTTTCGTTTTTAGCCTAAATGTATTCGTTTTGGCTTGTCGTTTATATTGCTATAGCTTCTTATATTTTTAATTCTTGTTCTTTTCTAAATACTGTTAATTGAAAGGATTTGTTGTGGAGTGAGGGGAACTAAAATAGCCTAGCTATGTTTACAGTGTTTGTAAACATTTCACGTCGGCATTAGGCCTATTTCTGAATGAAACGATAAAATGCGACTTTACGCGACTTTTGTTTTTTCCCCCTAAAAAACACATTTTTTTTTATACTCGTAGCGCATTTTAACCATGCAGCAAACCTTTTTAAATATGTATTAATAAATTACTGAAAAAATAGCTAATTAAATGACTTTTTAAACCGGTTAACGGATTGTATTAATCGGTCAAAATTCTTACGGTCGGTTAAACGGTTCAAATGAACATAAATAAAAATAGTCTTTATTTATCCATTTTTTTCTTGTGGTTGAAGTGTGACCCAGATGCCGTGTTCAGAGTATATTAACGCAGCGTTTGTGTTTGTGTCCATTCAGAGGTGCGCGTATCTGCTAGCGTTGGTTTACCGCGTCGGCCGCTCCTGAAGCGCGGCAGCACCGTCGCCCTGCTCTGCAACATCTCTGTGCAAACCACCCGAGCTTCACGAGTCGAGGTGCAGTGGCTTCAGGAGCAGGCGAGCAAAGACGCCGCTCTTTCTGAGGACAGCAGAGGCCGCGTCCTCGCGACTCTGAGCTACGACGGCCTGACGCTCATCTACAGCAACGGCAGCAGCTTGAGCGTGGACCGTGTGTCTGCTGGCTGCTTCAGGCTGAGGATCTTCTCGGCCGCTGAAGAGGATCAGGGACACTATCAGTGTCGAGCCGAGGTTTGGGCGCAGGATCCACGCGGCGGATGGTACAACACCGGCGCTAAAGCCGAGTCAGAGACTGTACACCTGTACCTGTACGCACGAGGTGAGCTATGATCAGATAAGAGAAATCTGTTCCTGTACAGGAATAGCCCATCTGACAGTATTTAGTTTTCTAGTGCAGGGGGTTTTTACCCGACCTCCTTTCTAAAACATAAAGGCATCTATATATTTGGTATATTATTTTATATTTAAAAAGTTCTGTTCTATTATAAAGGCAATATTTACTTTTATTAAGTTGACAGCATATTTGACAATTTATATATATATATATATATATATATATATATACCCGTTCTTTTTCTTTTTCTAGTATTTGTGATTTGAATTTTGTGAACGGGAGTTCCTCTTTTGCTGTGTTATAAGCCGGGCTTCGGACGCTTTCCCTTTCGAAGTCGCGATCTTGTTGTCACGTTTTACAAGAAAAGATAATTGTCTGTTTTGCATACATACATCTACACACCTTTCACTTTTTAAGACTAAAACAAAAGATGGATTCATTGTTATTCTTAATTAAAAAGCACAAAACAATAAAACCGTAAGATACAATGACAAACTAGCTTACAAAACGTTTGTTAACAAAAATGAATAAGACGAGGCATGCATGGCACACACCACATGCTGTATTATATACCGACTAATAAATTACAGAACGTTTAGCAAACACTGAGGAATCAAATAAATAAAAGAGAGTCTCCATTTCTCAAAATGAAATTGAAAAGTAAAACTAAGCTTGCATGTTTAGGTGACAGTGCTTGCATGTTTTTCCCCACAAGAATACCAACATGTTCACCTTCTCTGGTTTGTTTAAGAAGTGGCCTTTTACTTTACTTTAACTTGAAAACCATTCATCGTTTCCTCAATATGCGTCATTTTTGAAATCGCCTGTGCATTAATTTTTTATATAATTTTGCAGTCGCGCCAGCAGGAAAAATTCTTGCAAAATGCGACTATTTGGTCGCAGTCTGCATCCCTGTGTGTATATATATATATATATATATATATATATATATATATATATATAATATGTGTATGTGTGTGTGTTATTATATTAAAATAAATAAAATATTTAATAAGATATATTTTTTATATATATGTATATAATGGTTTTTTTATTTTTATGTGTGCACAATAAATTTAAAAGTGCACACACACACACAAAGAAAATGTATATATTATTTTTTCCTTTTTTTCCTATTTTTATTTTATTTTTTTGGTGCACCCCTTTTCTAGTGGTTTCCTCTTTCCTTTTTAGTGTCAAAAATTCTTGTGTTCAGCATCGAAAGTATGCTGGTGTTCATAAGTGTTTTTTACAAGTTACCTCTAGCGGGCTTGTGTGATCTGGTGTTGAGCTGACAGACTTGTTGTTATTATTGATATATGTTTTGATTTATTTCCTCCCCAGTCACTGATCTGCTGCTCGTACCTCTCGCGATCGGCGTGTCGTCGGCTCTGTTCGTGGGCGTGCTGATCATCGCCACTGTGACCTGCTGCTTCATGAACACACTGGCTAGACAGCGCTCACGCATACGGAAGTAGGAAGTATGAAAGAGACTTTCATGGAAAACATTCAGTTAGTTAAATGGAGCAAAGAAAAATGGGTTATAAACAGGTTTAAGGTATTTTGGCAGACTTGACGTAATGTGCACTCACACTTGGGAAGGAAATCAGAACGATACTGAAAATGTTCTGGACCGTCACGTTATATTAATCCACGTGTGGATGCTAACAGTTGCATATACACAAATGCACGCAGATACACTTGAAGCTGTGACATTGTGATTTGCACCGGTTCTATCCGCTCCACTTTGACAAAGTTGAATATTGCTCTGTGCATTTGCTCAGAATGAATGAAAGGACATCACGTGGTGGATATAAACCACTCGCTCTGTTTAAACTAGTGACTCTAGCGAGAACCAGCAGAACCACTAATAATAAATCCACAGATGTCCAGCACTGAAATCACTCACTGTTTTTGCACTGCTATTAAACCCGCTCATAATAAGTGTGAGATCAACAGAATACTTGTAAAACACTTTTATGGCACTTTACGGCATGCCATATTTTGTCATCTTTTCACCCTTGTATTCAGAATGAAATGCATTGAAAATCCTGAGCAGTTCCAGTGAAATGGGAGCAAGTCCCTCACTAGTGCACGTTTGTTGTCATAAAGTTAGTTCATTCTTATGTTTTGCACTGTAAATGGTGAATTTCACAAAGAAATGTCTGGGTCAGATTTCACCCCAAAATCAGAAAAGAAAAAAAATATATATATATATATATTGCGTCAGTTTTTTATTTTTTTATTTTTTTTCACAGTGTGCGTAATATTTTCTTGAAGATTAAGCAAATTTACAATCTAAATGGCATGTCTGGACATTATATATATACAGTGGGTACGGAAAGTATTCAGACCCCCTTAAATTTTTCACTCTTTGTTATATTGCAGCCATTTGCTAAAATCATTTAAGTTAATTTTTTTTCCTCATTAATGTACACACAGCACCCCATATTGACAGAAAAACACAGAATTGTTGACATTTTTGCAGATTTATTAAAAAAGAAAAACTGAAATATCACATGGTCCTAAGTATTCAGACCCTTTGCTGGGGGTCTGAATACTTTCCGTACCCACTGTATATATATATATTCAGTACAGCAAATGCTGCAATTATAGTAATTGGTGTACTAATTGTACTTAATAAATTATCAAATAATATATTATTTAGCTAATTTAAAAAATAGTACAAAAAATAAAAATTTTCCATTGAATTTTAAATTTCACAAAGAAGTGAAAAATGTAAGGGGGTCTGAATACTTTCCGTACCCACTGTATATATATATATTCAGTACAGCAAATGCTGCAATTATAGTAATTGGTGTACTAATTGTACTTAATAAATTATCAAATAATATATTATTTAGCTAATTTAAAAAATAGTACAAAAAATAAAATTTTTCCATTGAATTTTAAATTTCACAAAGAAATGTGTGTGAGTGTGTGTGTGTGTGTGTGTGTGTGTGAGAGTGTGAGTGTGAGTGTGTGTGTGTGTGTGTGTGTGTGTGTGTGTGTATATATATATACATTTTTGCATATTTGGCATAATACTTTTTATAAAAATTCAGTAAATTTACAACCCAAATGCTAAATTTCTCTTTTTCATTTGTGTAATGCATTCTGTCTGAACATAGTGATTTATATATAATAATAATAATATATAATCAGTACAACAAATACTACAATTGTAGTCATTGTTATTCTAATTATACTAAAGAAAATATCAAATAATATATTATTTTTGTATTTAAAAATAGTATTTTTGCATTACAGTAATGAAGATTGTGGGTGAAAAAAAATGTTTATTATTGTGGAAAGTATAAAAAATCTACAAAAGAAAAAATATATTAAATAATCTCTGAAAATATGCTCCAGGTGAAATACGCTCCAGGCATTTTTTTTTTCACCTGAATACAATAAATATGACAAATAACTATATATATAAATATGAGTAGTTAATGATCAGAAGCACTGAATAAGCTCTGAGGAGTTCAGGCTGTTTAGCAGGTTTCCTCGAGATTCAGACAACCACAGAACTTACTGAAACAAAGCCAGTTTATAACACTCTGCACACTTTGACTTGTGACGGCTCTCCTCATGTAAAGATAAATGAAGTTTCTCACATAAACACAGCTGGAGCTTTGCGTCGAGAGTCAGCTTGAAATGGCGTTTATCGTAACGTTTGCCAGGATTTCCCACTGCGCTTACAGGACCAGAGTGGGACATGGACCGAATCTTGTATGTTTGAAAATCTTCAAACCGTTTTTTTACTGTAATTTTACTGTTTTGTGCATCTGAAAGCAGGTGCCTTTTGTGTCCCTCGTTAATGATTCCAGCAATGAATTAGTGTTTCCAGGTTAAAATATTGTGCTATTCTCTGCCAAAGACCGGCATATGTCTCCTCTTTAATCAATATTTTATATCTTGATAGCTTTCTCAGAAGGATACGATCTAAAATGTTTAAACCTGTGTGAATTTTTTTATAAAGTGAATTATTTTTGAAAATTGTATATTTTTAGAAATATCACCCACTTACCCTGTTGTGCCTTTTCTGAAGGCATAGTTACTTTTATTAATATTTATTAATTTAGCAAGAAATGGTACAATGCAATTAACACACTCTTTGTTCAGTTTGCTTTAAAATCAGCTTTTTTTAAATAAAAACCACCCGTTTCATAGTTTTTTGAAGGAATGGATGTTATTACTGAAGCAGATTATCTTCATTTAGATGATCTTTTGTGTGTGATTGTGATGTGTTTGTTGTCTGCAGTCGCTCTCTCTGGGATTGTACTAATGTGAAAGCCACATTAACATGGAAAAAAGGGATTCTGTGTTTCTCTACTTATTTACAGCGTTCAGATGCCGAGATCTGGTTTATCCTCTTACGCCACGTGACGAAACGCTGAGAGCAGCACAATATTCTCTGGATATTAATCCTGGTGTTTATGGTCTGAAACATCTCGTGTCACGCTGAATTCATGCAGTTGTCCTGTTTCAGACAGAAGCCGTCTTGCTCTCTTTCCTCAGTTGTGATGTTTTATCATTTCAATTGCAGTCTATGCTTTGTAAAAACTAAAAAAAAAAGACTTTTCAGAGTTGTAAACCAAGATTATTGAAGTACGTTTTACATGAAAACACTATTTCAGTCTTTCTACTTCAAAATTTCGTGTTTAATCTAGTGTAATTATTGTAATATTATAATTATTGTAAATATATCTGAATTTTACTGCCAATTTCTGAGTGGAAATTGTTTCTGTGTCCAATTTTTCAGTGTACAACATTGATTTTGACAAAAGCTAAAAATCCTGATAATATAGTTTGCGATTGCCATTTCAGTCTGCCTGCTTCAAAATTTCATAATGCAGTATGTTATTTGGCAGTTCTTTGAAATTATTTGTGAAATTGTTTTTTTCAGTGTACTTACTCTCGACGAATATAGTTTGCTAGTTTTTTATCAAAGAAACCTGAAAAAATTCTACTCGGCTGTTTTCAACAATAATAAATGTTTCTCGAGCAGCAGATCAGCATATTATACTGATTTCTGAAGATCATGTGACACTGAAGACTGGAGTAATGATGCTGAAAATACAGAAATAAATTACAGTTTAACAGATATTCACATAGAAAACAGCTATTTGAAATCGTAAAAATATTTCACAATTTTTCTGATTTTGCTGTATTTTTGATCAAAAGCAGGCTTGGTGAGCAGAAGAGAATTCTTTAAGAAACATTACAAATCTTACTGATCAAAAACTTTTGACTGGTAGTGTATATATATATATATATAATAAAAAACTAGCAAACTATATTCGTCGAGAGTAAGTACACTGAATAAAACAATTTCACAAATAATTTCAAAGAACTGCCAAATAACATACTGCATTATGAAATTTTGAAGCAGGCAGACTGAAATGGCAATCGCAAACTATATTATCAGGATTTTTAGCTTTTGTCAAAATCAATGTTGTACACTGAAAAATTGGACACAGAAACAATTTCCACTCAGAAATTGGCAGTAAAATTCAGATATATTTACAATAATTATAATATTACAATAATTACACTAGATTAAACACGAAATTTTGAAGTAGAAAGACTGAAATAGTGTTTTCATGTAAAACGTACTTCAATAATCTTGGTTTACAACTCTGAAAAGTCTTTTTTTTTTAGTTTTTACAAAACCTGAACCCAAGACGAGCTTCTGAACTTCATCCGTATGTCGTGCATTTAAATAAACCATTTAACATGAATACAGGCTTCACATTTTAATCCCTAAAGCTGACTTTGGCAGTCGATATGGAGCGGTTGCCATGGTAACGGCATCCCCGCTGCATTAGAACACGATGCAAATGTAACACGTGACACGCTTCTACATTCGACTGCACTGCTTTCCATTGTTTTTCTACGTAAACAAGCACTATAACAACTTTGCCCTCCAAAATGATGATTTTTGCACTTTAAAGGGATTTTAAGATAAATGGATGTATTATGCAATATTGGATTCAATCTTTTTATCAGCTTGCGTTCGTTCAGTCAGCACAGGTTTTGTATTTCTTGATCTGATCTGAGCTCATGCATCTCAGTTTTTGAGTGAAAGAGCATTATTTGTGGATCATTTCGGCAATAATCACTAAAAAAAAAGTGGTGCATAAGCTCAATAATATCAAGAAATACAAAACCTGTGCTGACTGAACGAACGCAAGCTGATAAAAAGATTGAATCCAATATTGCATAATACATCCATTTATCTTAAAATCCCTTTAAAGTGCAAAAATCATCATTTTGGAGGGCAAAGTTGTTATAGTGCTTGTTTACGTAGAAAAACAATGGAAAGCAGTGCAGTCGAATGTAGAAGCGTGTCACGTGTTACATTTGCATCGTGTTCTAATGCAGCGGGGATGCCGTTACCATGGCAACCGCTCCATATCGACTGCCAAAGTCAGCTTTAGGGATTAAAATGTGAAGCCTGTATTCATGTTAAATGGTTTATTTAAATGCACGACATACGGATGAAGTTCAGAAGCTCGTCTTGGGTTCAGGTTTTGTAAAAACTAAAAAAAAAAGACTTTTCAGAGTTGTAAACCAAGATTATTGAAGTACGTTTTACATGAAAACACTATTTCAGTCTTTCTACTTCAAAATTTCGTGTTTAATCTAGTGTAATTATTGTAATATTATAATTATTGTAAATATATCTGAATTTTACTGCCAATTTCTGAGTGGAAATTGTTTCTGTGTCCAATTTTTCAGTGTACAACATTGATTTTGACAAAAGCTAAAAATCCTGATAATATAGTTTGCGATTGCCATTTCAGTCTGCCTGCTTCAAAATTTCATAATGCAGTATGTTATTTGGCAGTTCTTTGAAATTATTTGTGAAATTGTTTTTTTCAGTGTACTTACTCTCGACGAATATAGTTTGCTAGTTTTTTATTATATATATATATATACACTACCAGTCAAAAGTTTTTGATCAGTAAGATTTGTAATGTTTCTTAAAGAATTCTCTTCTGCTCACCAAGCCTGCTTTTGATCAAAAATACAGCAAAATCAGAAAAATTGTGAAATATTTTTACGATTTCAAATAGCTGTTTTCTATGTGAATATCTGTTAAACTGTAATTTATTTCTGTATTTTCAGCATCATTACTCCAGTCTTCAGTGTCACATGATCTTCAGAAATCAGTATAATATGCTGATCTGCTGCTCGAGAAACATTTATTATGATGTTGAAAACAGCCGAGTAGAATTTTTTCAGGTTTCTTTGATGAATAGAAAGTTCAGAAGAACAGCATTTATCTGAAATGGACATCTTTTGTAACATTATAAATGTCTTTATCGTCACTTTTGATCCATTTAAAAGCATCCTTGCCAAATAAAAGTATTAATATCTATACTTTCCAAAAATAAAAATTATACTGACTCCAAGCTTTTGAATTGTGAATTTTGTGTATAATGTGACAAAAGCTTTTTATTTCAGATCTCTGGATCTTTCTAGTCATCAAAAAATCCTAAAAAAAAAAAAAGTGTACTCAACTTTTTAAAATATTATTAATAATAATATTGTTTCTGGAGCAGCAGATCAGCATATTATACTGATTTCTGAAGATCATGTGACACTGAAGACTGGAGGAATGATGCTGAAAATACAGAGCAATAAATAACACTTTAACAGATATTCACATAGAAAACAGCTGTTTGAAATAGTAAAAATATTTCACAATTTTACTGCTTTTGCCATATTTTGGATCAAATAAATGCAGTCCTATTGAGCAGAATAGAATTCTTTAAAAAACTTTAAAAATCTTAATGTTCAAAAACTTTTGACTGGTAGTGTGTATATACAGTGTGTATATATATATATATAGTTGTTTGTAGTAACAGTTCTGTTTGCTGGGGTGCATTTACCATGTTTTGTCAGCATAAACACCACCGTTTTACCAATGTAAAAGCATTTATAATTTTTAATAATGTGCATCTTTACATAAATTAAAATATATACAGTCATCAAGTTAAAATCAACATTCAATTAAAGTAAAAGGCATTTACAGAGAGACTGATGTGCTTCATGAAGTCATTAAGTATGTTATGCAATATATCTCATAATGTGTCATCGTGGCTGATGCTGACGAGCTGCTGGGGTTTGTGTTGGGCTCTGTGCAGAAGTCACTGGTAGCTGCATATCCACGAGCGCGGCGTCACCAGCTCCCAGAAGCTTGTCTGTTTGGACACAATGCATGAAAATATGAACTTATGGGTGTTAAATATGATTTACGGCATTATTGCACAGAACTCTGATCATGTTAGATCAGCGCATGTGGAGCATCTTGACCTTGTTTTGGAGCACTGCAAGAAATGCTTGTTCTTAAAGGGATAGTTCACCACAAAAAAAAATTACATTTTATCATAATCTTATCATATTTTTCCAGCATACTCAGTGATCCTGCAGTGCCACCAAGTGGACACGGTTTCATTTTTACATGTTTTTGCAGTCTGTCTCTGACACTTACTCTTTTCCCATCGAGCAGAGGAGAGTCTGTATTCAGTAATTATGGAATTATTTAATTTATCAAAAAACCTTGCCGGATATAGTTTAGTGTATAATCGAAATACCAATAATAACCGGATTTCAAAGTTGCAAATAAAACAAATAGTATTGAAGTACGTTTTACAAGAAACAGTTTTTCTACTTCAAAATTTTGTGTTTAATTAAATGGGTTACTTGCATGTTCTTTGTGAAATTTACTAGCATATTTAAATAATTATTTAAAAATTTATATATATTATATTATTATTAATATATATAGTTATATATTATCTTAATAATAATAATACAAAATAATTTAAATAATATTTATCTATATTTAATTAAAAAACTACTTTCTGGTTTTACAGATTTTAGAATTGTGTGTGTGTAATATAATACATTATGCCATATTTATATTTTTAAAAATGTAATTAAATGCAAGATAGTGTGTAACCGAAATACCAATAATAACCAGAAAATAAATTATGCTGCATAGGGGCAAACAAACCCGAAATACATTAAATACATAAAATTATTTTTTTAAAGTGTGTGTGCAAATACTCTTATTTTGAAGTGTCTTTACTGCTTCCAGCTGCTCTTTCAAACAGATGAGGGCCATTAAAATATTCACTCTTAAACATATTTCAATACGAACACCGTAAAGTTCAGCACTGTCATAATTCATCAACAGCAGATCATAAGCAATTGCTGAGCATAAATGCACGGTATTTATTGACAGCGGCGTGTTTTTACTTTGAAACGTGTAGAGCTTACATTTTTTCATTAAACCAGCACGTTTTGAAGTTTAATAATCGCATTAAGATCGCGATTCCTGTGTTCTAGCCTCAAATTTAAGACCTCTTAAAATGATAATTAAGACTTTTTGTCTAAAAAATAGCCTATGTAGTTCTAAATGCATTTTACAGTTGGCACACAACTTTTTTATGGAAGCCAGTTTCCGCCATGAAAAAAATAATTGTGACTTTTTATCTCAAATTTCTGACTTCCTCTCTTGCATTTCTGACTTTTTCCCCTGAATTCTGAGTTTTGTTTGTTTGTTTGGAATAAAAAAGGTAATTGCAACTTTACATCTCACAATTAAGACATCTCAGAATTGTGAGTTTATATCGTGCAATTCTGCATTTATATCTCACAATTCTGTTTATATTTCTCAATTCCTTCTCAGAATTGTGATTTATATCTGCGTCTATATCTCGCAATTCTGAGAATTGTAAGTCTCACAGCTGCAAGGCAATATGTCTGAATTGTGAGGTCAAAGTCGCATTGACATTTTTAATTGTTTTATTCTGTGGCAGAAACAAGCTTATATCATTTTTAGTTGCAAATGCAAGTGAAATGCAATGCATTGTAGGGCTGTCAAAAAAAATGTGAATTTAAAATATTCGTCGAATTTAAAATAAAAATCCTCATTCGAATGCAAAAACGTTGCATTTGAATTTTAGGTGTGTGTTGAGGCAGCCTTATCAGCGGCGCACGAGATGCGATGACGATGTAGGTGTCATTGCATTTTAATGTTTTTGTTAGCCTATCCAGTTAATAATTACAAATATTGCGGGAAAAGAGAACATCAATGCAGAGAAGATCTTGTTTACGTCTAAACTGAAACCAAGCCGTTCACACAGAACGCATATTTCACGCATTTTCTAGAGGGACGTCTATCACCATTGCACTCACGTCTCGCACAAAAGAGCCGCATGTTTAGAAAGCCGTGTAAAATCAATGCAAGTGAAAAAACATATCTCGAGACTTTATGGCGGGGGTTTTTTCCCATCCCACTGCAACTCGTGTTGTGAAAAATGCACTCTGTGTGATTGGCTTTCGGCCTTTTGTATTAAACTATGCATACATACATGATGCCGTTTTGTTTATAGTTGTTTAAGCAACTTAATTATAATTGGTTTATAAACCATCATGCACATTTTTTTCACAGATAGTCATGTTATCTTATGCTTTGAATAAACGTGCATTCGTAATATTTTGCTCGATGCGCCCTCTCGTGGCCTCAGGAGAGAAGCCAAAAGCTTTTTTTCACCCTAACTGAAATTATGCGTTTTGATCATATTTATTCGCATTTAGTTTTTTAGCCATTTTGACAGCCCTAATGCCCTGCTTCAGATTTCTTGCGTTCTGCTGTGTTTCCGAGCTGTAAGCACATCGTACATCATGCATCAGTGTGTTCTTCAGTTCAGCTGCTCTTGAGCTGAATTGAATCATCACAGTCTCTGAGCCTCAGTGTCCAAACAGTGATGTGTTAATCACGGAGCTGGAGTGTAAGTGTGTTTTACCCCGGTGCGAGGGCACTGGATCTGAGCGTACCACTCCACACAGTACAGACACACATGCACGCCCTGACCGATGAACAGACACGTCCACATGATGATGTTCCACACCGGACTCTTCCGCTTGTCATTCATGGCGAAGTTGAACACCACTGGAAAGGTGAAAAACAGTCAGTGCATTTCTGCTGCTTGTTCCTAGTGAGCTCCCTAACCAGACAGCATGCCCTGTCGTCTCAGGTGCTCTGCTTAGGCAACACGATGCTGTCTAAATACTTTGTGATAGCTGAAATCGTAAGGTAGCAAGGCATGAGTTTGTTTAAAATGATTTATTATAATTATCTATAATTTACATTATTAAAGTATTTATAATTATATATAAATAAATAAATACATGCCTTACTGCTTTAAGATTTTGGCCCAATTTATTTATTTATTTATTAAGAAAAAAAGAAAAAGAAAGAAAGGAAATACTAGAATGTATGGAAGCCCGTTTCCGCCACTAAATAAAAAAATATAATTCTGTAAGTCATTAATTTACATTATTAAAGTATTTATAATTATATATAAATAAATAAATACATGCCTTACTGCTTTAAGATTTTGGCCCTATTTATTTATTTATTTATTAAGAAAGAAAGGAAATCCTAGAATGCACTGCAATGAGTTCAGCAAAAAATAAATAAAATACAATAAAAAATAAGTCTATAATTTATGTTATTAAATTATTTATTATAAATAAATAAATACAAGCCTTACTGCTTTAAGATTTTGGCCCTATTTATTTATATTTATTTATTTATTAAGAAAGAAAGGAAATACTAGAATGCACTGCAATGAGTTCAGCAAAATAAACAAAATACAATAAAAAAATAAATTAATTAATTAATTAAAATAGTTGGTAAGAGTTGGTAGTAATGTAATCCATTACACATTTTTGGTAATGTAATCGGACTACTTTTAGATTACTTTTGCTCTGACTCGTTTATCACATTGATTTAAATAGGATAATCTTGTACCATATTGATATGAAAATACAAAGAGGAAGAAAATATATTGCATTTGTTGTGATCAACAACATGAAGTGCACAATTAATAGTGGATTAACCCCTTAACTGTCACCGTCGCACCTGTGGGACGCTTGGCGTTCTTTTTTTTGTTGTCCTTTTTCTCTATCAAATATTCATGTAATCATCATAACATTATATATCATTTGAAAGCTTAGAAGCCCAACATTCATCCTGAGAAAACCATTTTGAAACCGGACATTGCGTTACCATGGAAATGGTACTTTAAAATCTGTTGGCGGTCTCCTCCCCCTTAGTGGGCGGTGTCATATTACAAAATGCACTTTTATAATCTTGACAAAAAAACATATCATTGGAAAGGTCTGAGTCTCAGGATTCCATATTTGGTGGTTATTTTGTCATTTTAATATTGACATTTGTGACAGAAAAATGCATTAAAAAAATTCAATGTAGTTTGGATGGCACCCGGTGGCTGTTTGTGGTATGACGCCCTAAATAAAATCTCACAGGAACCTCAGTTTTTTTCATATCGACTTCAAATTTGGAACATAACTTATTTAGACATAAGGCTTTAATTTTATACCAATTTTGGGTTTTAAGAGTTTGTGTCTTCATCAGGTTTGTAGAAATGTAGCACTGCATCAGTGTCTCAGCAATGGATGCTCTGCTGTGAATGGGTGCCGTCAGAATGAGAGTCCAAACAGCTGATAAAAACATCACAATAATCCACAGCACTCCAGTCCATCAGTTAACATCTGGAGAAGACAATAACTGAAACACATCCAGCATTAAGATGTTTCTATACGAGTCCATAATCCATAATAACGTGAAAAAGTGCATCTGCTGTTGTCTCTCACATCAAAATCCAGCCACATATGTGTTTAGAGCTGTTTAAACGCTGCTTGATCTGTGCAGATTTCTCTCCTGATTCACACCAGAACACTGACTCACTGGAGGAAGAGTTATTATGGATAAAAGCGTCTTAATGCTGGATGTGTTTCAGCTTTTGTCTTCTCAAGATGTTAACTGGTGGACTGGAGTGCTGTGGATTATTGTGATGTTTTTATCAGCTGTTTGGACTCTCATTCTGACGGCACCCATTCACATCCATTGGTGAGCGAGTGATGCAATGCTACATTTCTCCAAACCTGATGAAGAAACAAACTCATCTACATCTCGTCCGGCCTGAGGGCGAGCACATTTGCAGCTCATTTTCATTTTTGCCTGAACTATTATTCCTTTAAACTAATGAGATTTCCACTTACTCTGTAAAACATGCGGTCAGCGAAACGCAGCATCTCCGCAAAAGCATTGAGCCAGCAGTGCAGAAATGCGTAGAAACCCAGCATTAACATGAGCATCCCTGAACATGACAGTAAACGGTCTCAAATCACACAGACGGCCGGAGAAATTCAAAGTCATTTCAGAGGGGAGTTATTGCTTATTGATGAAAGTTTATGAATAGTTTGTACTGATGCGTTCACAGGAAGTGCAGAAACTATTTCATGTTGGCTGTTCAATGCAAGACATTAGTAAGTGTGTATATTATGAGTGTAAGTGTGTGTGGTACCTGGAAACGCGGCGTGGAAGAGCGCCAGGATGAATGTCCGTGTACTGAAGGGCTGGTTGCTCTTGTTTGTGAACACAGGGATGCACAATCGCACCAAGATGAAGTACAGATAGAACAGACTGGCCAAGATCTGGGAGCAACACAAGAACCATGCATTTAAGGCTGGGGGAATCTCAAAAAACATATTATGTATTGTGACATAACTTTCATGACAAACACTCTTCCCTTAGAATTTTCAATCCGTACTTCAACTCCTTTAAGAAATCGATTCAATTCATATGGGAATAAAATCACGGATCATCAGTTCGCTGCTCATTTGATGATCTTATACACAATCTGAGAGTATTACTGTACGATTAGACAACATAACACCTGATAATTGTGTATGAAGCAGAGCTGGGTAGATTAGTTACTGATTACAGATTACGTGATAAAAATGTGTTGGTAGTAATGTAATCCATTACACATTTTTGGTAATGTAATCGGACTACTTTTAGATTACTTTTGCTCTGACTCGTTTATCACATTGATTTAAATAGGATAATCTTGTACCATATTGATATGAAAATACAAAGAGGAAGAAAATATATTGCATTTGTTGTGATCAACAACATGAAGTGCACAATTAATAGTGGATTAACCCCTTAACTGTCACCGTCGCACCTGTGGGACGCTTGGCGTTCTTTTTTTTGTTGTCCTTTTTCTCTATCAAATATTCATGTAATCATCATAACATTATATATCATTTGAAAGCTTAGAAGCCCAACATTCATCCTGAGAAAACCATTTTGAAACCGGACATTGCGTTACCATGGAAATGGTACTTTAAAATCTGTTGGCGGTCTCCTCCCCCTTAGTGGGCGGTGTCATATTACAAAATGCACTTTTATAATCTTGACAAAAAAACATATCATTGGAAAGGTCTGAGTCTCAGGATTCCATATTTGGTGGTTATTTTGTAATTTTAATATTGACATTTGTGACAGAAAAATGCATTAAAAAAATTCAATGTAGTTTGGATGGCACCCGGTGGCTGTTTGTGGTATGACGCCCTAAATAAAATCTCACAGGAACCTCAGTTTTTTTCATATCGACTTCAAATTTGGAACATAACTTATTTAGACATAAGGCTTTAATTTTATACCAATTTTGGGTTTTAAGTTTGGATAGTGCACTTTAATGCCTATTTTAAAAATGGGGGGGGTGACAGTTATATGGGGATAAATCATAAAACGAATTAATTAAAACAAAGCTTTGTATATTCAATATTTGTTTAATACTGTTTAATTTGTTGTATTTTGTCAAATGCTGTGTGGCGTCTCAATTTTCTGTGTAATTATAACAATCTGACTAATGACTGGTCTTTGTCTGAACGTCCACAAAACTTTCTATAAGCGGTAGGATATTTTAGAAAGGAACATTTAAAAGATGAAAAAAATGAGAATTAATAAATTATGAATCATTTCTTGCTATTGTGTAAATAATATGTAATCAATAAAAAGTAACTAGTCTGATTACGAGTAATATATAATCGAATTACAAGTAATTAATTTTTAGAATCTGATTACGTAATCCATGTATAAGGTAATATGCATAGACATACTTTTAATTTTGTAATAGATACTAAGGTCTTCACACATACATCAAACACAAGAGAGTGTGGTGAAAGCTTTAATTGATGTTAAATATAATTTTAAATTGTGACGTATAATTGTACATGGTAGCGTAATTAAATTCTAAAAAAGTTTATTTTCATTACTGTATAAAACTAATAAGGGAATGTGTGTAATTATCATGAAAGTAATGTTACAATGCAAAGCATGTCTTTATGCAAAATAAAATATTATATTATGAAATACAATTTCTTAGTTTTATTTTTGGGGGGAAATATGACCCAGATATGTGGTTGCGTGAGCGACTTGACCTTCAGAAAGTTCATGCCAACGTAGTTCCACCTGATGTACGGGTTTCTGAAAGAGAACAACAAACAGTGAGGATATTGATTTGTTAGTCTGTGATACAGTGGTGTGTCACAACGAGAGCTGTTTACCGCGGATAAACCTCCCGATAGATCAGAGTCGGGCAGAACAGAAAGTACAGATAGCTGGAGAGAGATGGATATCGCAGAGGTTCGCCTGTGAGAAAGAGATTAGGGTTACAGCATTAACCTTCCCTGAATCCGGCATGTGAATATAGAAAGAATCGGCATGCATCTTCGATTAAAATGCATGCATTGTGTATGAAGAAGCATGGAGTGCTGAACGGCGTTACCCTTCTGCGGTGTGTTTTTGAGAACGGCCGGTGTAGTTTCACGGATAAACGAGTAGCTCTTCATCACAAATCTGATCTGTGGAGGAAAAGCAGGATTTGGCAGGTTTGCACTTACACAAGGCTCTTCTCTCATCACAAACTATACGGATCTGACTGGGTTTGTCCTGTAGGCCGCTGACCTCTGACCCAGTTTGAGCACATCTGTGTTTTACTGTTTTCTGTGATGATGTGCTGCCAGTAATGTAGTGAGCTATTTAATTTGGCAAAGGACTGCAGACTTTGGACCATGAACCCCAAATAAACTTTGGCACAATGATCTGGGCATTGCTTTAAATCTGGCACAATATCTCATAAAAACCTACTTTGTTAACCATTAATTTATTTAACCTCTATCTTCACAGTGTATGATGTAATGGAACTTCTGAAACTCTATATGTTTATATAGATTATTAATTTGATTGAAATATGATATGATTTATAATAATTAAATAATAATTTATAATTTATTTTATTATGCAGATTATATTTAATACATTATAAATAATTGTGTGTGTGTGTGTAAAAAATACTAATTATGATTTTTCATTTTTATATATCATTTATATGTATGTGTGTGTTTTTATATATATTTCTGTTTAAATATATCATGAATAATAAGTAATATACTTAATAAATCATTTCAAAATAAATAAATATATATAATAATGTAGGTGATATTCAAATATGCTATATTTTATAAATAATAATAATTTATAATTAATTTACTTTACTAATTTACTAATTACATTTATTTGCTATAATTGTATTTAATTATGCAGATAGTATTTAATACATTATACATTATAAATTATTTTATACCTGTGTGTGTGTGTGTGTGTGTGTGAGAGCGTGTGTGTGTGTGTGTGTGTGAGAGAGAGAGAGCGTGTGTGTGTGTGTGTGTGTGTGTGAGCGAGAGAGAGCGTGTGTGTGAAAAAAATATTTAAAATTATGTATGTGTATTTATATATATATATTTGTGTTTAAATATGATAAATAATAAATAAAATAATACATTATTTCATAAGTAAATGAATATTATTTTATTTAATTATGATTTATTTTAATTATCAAATTACATGTATATACATAGTTTACATGTAATTTTCTAATTAAATAAGTAAATCACCTGTATTTCTCTAATGCAAACACACAGGCCTGTGTTAGTGTACTCAGTACTGTGTTATTGTACCTGCTCTAATATGATGATGAATCGTGAAGCTGGCGGCAGCTGATAATGCAGGACGATGTAAACTGGAAATATTCCCAGCATGCTCGTCTGAGCAGCACACAGTGTTAGCGCTGCCGCCGCAGACACACACGTCCTCCAGCCTCGGCTGTGGTTCAGTGAAGCCCAGACGCTCAGAATGTAATACGGCCCGAGCAGAGCGTACGCGAGCATGAGCGTCCAGGCCCATACGACCGTCCCCAACTGACCGAACGCGTAATAAAACAGATCAAAGTCCAGAACCAGCCTGAAACACACAGACACTCACACTCAGTCAGCCAGTCCTAATTCTGATGCTTTATTCCCCCACACACTCTCTCTCTCACACACACACACACTCTCTCTCTCACACACACACTCTCTCTCTCTCTCACACACACACACACACACGCTCTCTCTCTCACACACACACACACACACGCTCTCTCTCTCACACACACACACACACACGCTCTCTCTCTCACACACACACACACACACGCTCTCTCTCTCACACACACACACACACACGCTCTCTCTCTCACACACACACACACACACGCTCTCTCTCTCACACACACACACACACACGCTCTCTCTCTCACACACACACACACACACGCTCTCTCTCTCACACACACACACACACACGCTCTCTCTCTCACACACACACACACACACGCTCTCTCTCTCACACACACACACACACACGCTCTCTCTCTCACACACACACACACACACGCTCTCTCTCTCACACACACACACACACACGCTCTCTCTCTCACACACACACACACACACGCTCTCTCTCTCACACACACACACACACACGCTCTCTCTCTCACACACACACACACACACGCTCTCTCTCTCACACACACACACACACACGCTCTCTCTCTCACACACACACACACACACGCTCTCTCTCTCACACACACACACACACACGCTCTCTCTCTCACACACACACACACACACGCTCTCTCTCTCACACACACACACACACACGCTCTCTCTCTCACACACACACACACACACGCTCTCTCTCTCACACACACACACACACACGCTCTCTCTCTCACACACACACACACACACGCTCTCTCTCTCACACACACACACACACACGCTCTCTCTCTCACACACACACACACACACGCTCTCTCTCTCACACACACACACACACACGCTCTCTCTCTCACACACACACACACACACGCTCTCTCTCTCACACACACACACACACACGCTCTCTCTCTCACACACACACACACACACGCTCTCTCTCTCACACACACACACACACACGCTCTCTCTCTCACACACACACACACACACGCTCTCTCTCTCACACACACACACACACACGCTCTCTCTCTCACACACACACACACACACGCTCTCTCTCTCACACACACACACACACACGCTCTCTCTCTCACACACACACACACACACGCTCTCTCTCTCACACACACACACACACACGCTCTCTCTCTCACACACACACACACACACGCTCTCTCTCTCACACACACACACACACACGCTCTCTCTCTCACACACACACACACACACGCTCTCTCTCTCACACACACACACACACACGCTCTCTCTCTCACACACACACACACACACGCTCTCTCTCTCACACACACACACACACACACACAAACACACTCTCACACACACACACACACACGCACACACACACGCACTCACTCTCTCACACACACTCTCACCTGCCCTGGTCGATGTAGTCCACTGCTAACGTGCTGATGATGAACAGCAAGAGAGCGGCGATGAACATGTGATAGATGGTCCTGATGTGACTGATCTCGAATAACTCACTGGAGAGAGACACGTGAACAACTGACTTATCTTTCATTTCTTTATGAAATTGTTTGTTAGGTTGTGACCTTTCACGTTTGGCTTTTAAGAAGTTTTTCAGCTTTAAATAGTCTGATTCTTCACATTTCTGACTATTTGCATCTTTAATGATATAATAATATTAATATCACAATTGTAATTCATCATAAAAAATTAAAAAGAAAATCTGCTCTGCATTTGAAGCCTTCTGGTATATTTTAAAAATTTGTATTGCAATAACGCTTTAAATAATTAAATTGATCACATTTTTGAAAATTTGTATCTTTAATAATACAATAACGTTAATAATATTCATAATTTTAAGTTGTCATTAGAAAAAAACAGTTAAGAAGAACATTTGCTCTGAATTTGACATCTTTTGGCCTTTTTTAAATGTTGAATTGCAACAAAGCTTTAAAACGTCCAATTCATCAAATGTCTGAAGATTTGCAGCTATAATTAACAATAATATTAATATAATCAAACAAGAAAATTTATATTCATAATATTAATTTATCGTTAAAATAATTTTTTTTTAAATCTGCTCTGAATTTGAAGTATTTGGGCATTTTTTTATCGCAAATTATATCAATAATATTAAATATATTAAATATTAATATTAAATAATATTAATAATATTCATTACATTATCATTCCATTTTTTTAACAAAACTATTTGCTCTGAATTTGAAGTCTTTCGCTTTTTTGTAGATATAATTATACAATAATATTATTATAATGATACAATAAAATTTATATTCATAATACTAGTTAATCATTCAAATACAAAAAATCAAACAAACAAGGACACAAATACATTTTTAAAAATCCTCTGAAGTCTTTTGGTAAATTTTTTAAGTTTGATTTGCAGCAAGTATTGACAGATTATTTCAGTGTATTTTTTTCATTCATCATTAAAATACTAATCAATCAATCAATAATGCGGTGAAAACTTTTGGTAAACTTTTAAGGTTTGAATCGCAGCAATTCCTTGTATTTTTATTTTTCCTATTTTTTAAGTCGCTCTGGATAAAGGCATCTGTTATATTAATAAATGTAAGTGTAAACTAGGCTGTTCATCTTTTATGTTCTTTTTCATGAGATGCGTGTAAGATAGTGAGATAAGTCTTTCGGGTGGTTGCTATGTGGTTGCTAGGGTAGTTACTCTCCACTGAATGACTAATGAGTCTCCAGTGAGTAAGCAGCAGTATTAATACTCACTCCAGCAGGGAGCACCGGGCCACAAACACCTTCCCCTGATCCGGTTTGTGCCTAAAAACCAAGAGATGCTGGATGTGCATTCAAACCTCCTTCAGAATTCAAGTTGCCTGGCAGGAAGTGACATCACAGAGGCGCTCACCTGTCGTGGGTGTGTGTGTGATCCGGGTGTGTGTGTGTGTTCCTGCAGAGCGACTGCATGGAGTCTGACAGCGCTCGCTCCAGCAGCTCGTTCAGACGGGACTGAACATGTCGGATCAGCTCCACTTTCATCCTCTGATCACAAACACATCAGAGTCACGGCATCAAGAAGCGCTCTAGTGGAGCTGGTCTGTGCTGGTCTAAGAGGGTTTGGTATTTTTAACTGCTCAGTCTGAGACCAACAAATCACCCTAGACTGGGTTATCATGTGTTTATTTATTTATTTTTATTAGTATTATTATTTATGCATTGTTGTTGTTGTTGCTGTTTGTTTGCTTATTTTAGATGAAATTACTAGTAAAAGTAAGTTTATTAATTATTTAAGTAATTTTATCTAAAAAACATAACCCAGTCTAAAAAAAAAAGAACATATATTTAGTTAAAAGACATTTTAATACTATTTTTGTATTTTGTATATTTTGATACTGTTTTCATAACATTTTCTCTCACATTCTCATACAAACAATTATGATATTTTATTTTATCATTTTTATTGCTGTATTCATACATCATGGTATTTTACTTTAAGCTGTTTTAAATGGCAAAAGGGTATTAACTTAATTTGACTAAATTAAGTTGTTTTACATTTTAAAAATTAAATAAATTATTAATTAAGCTGATTTAAATGAAAAATGTGTTAAATTATTTTTATCAGACGGGACTGAACATGTCGGATCAGCTCCACTTTCATCCTCTGATCACAAACACATCAGAGTCACGGCATCAAGAAGCGCTCTAGTGGAGCTGGTCTGTGCTGGTCTAAGAGGGTTTGGCATTTTTAACTGCTCAGTCTGAGACCAACAAATCACCCTAGACTGGGTTATCATGTGTTTATTTATTTATTTTTATTAGTATTATTATTTATGCATTGTTGTTGTTGTTGCTGTTTGTTTGCTTATTTATATTTTATTTTATAATTTTTATTGCTGTATTCATACATCATGGTATTTTACTTTAAGCTGTTTTAAATGGCAAAAGGGTATTAACTTAATTTGACTAAATTAAGTTGTTTTACATTTTAAAAATTAAATAAATTATTAATTAAGCTGATTTAAATGAAAAATGTGTTAAATTAATTTTATTAAATTATTTCATGAATTTAAACTGATTCGAAGTTTAAAAAATCACTAAAACAATCTGTAATTGATGATTTCAATGAAAAAAGTATTAATTTCACTAAATTAATTTAAGCTGATCTAAATACAAAATTATTAAAGTAATTTATTAAATTATTAAATTAGTTTAAGCTGAATTATTAAATTATTTAAAACATTAATGAATCTGTAAAATTACTTCAATACATTTTTTTCCCATTTAAATCTTCCTAAATTAAAGGAAGTACAACAAATACAAACATGGCATAAAAATATTGCAATTAAAATACTACAGTATATCATTATTTTTGAAAGTGTCTCACCTCCATGTCTTCATTTCTAAGTGTTGCATCGCTCATATTTGTGTGATTATCATCTGCAGACAGACAGAGACACTGAATAGAGCAGTCATTTACACTGATAAGTCAGGATAGAGTCAGGATACAGTCAGGACAGAGTCAGGATACAGTCAGGACAGAGTCAGCAGGACAGAGTCAGCAGGACAGAGTCAGGATAGAGTCAGGATACAGTCAGGACAGAGTCAGGCTACAGTCAGGATAGAGTCAGGACAGAGGATAAAGTCAGGACAGAGTCAAGATACAGTCAGCAGGACAGAGTCAGGATACAGTCAGGACAGAGTGCGGACAGAGTCAGGATACAGTCAGGATACAGTCAGGACAGAGTCAGGATAGAGTCAGGACAGAGTCAGGATACAGTCAGGACAGAGTCAGGATACATTCAGGATAGATTCAGGACAGCGTCAGGATACAGTCAGGACAGAGTCAGGATAGATTCAGCAGGACAGAGTCAGGATACAGTCAGGATAGAGTCAGGACAGTGTCAGGACAGAGTCATCAGGACAGAGTCAGGAGGACAGAGTCAGGACAGAGTCAGTAGGACAGAATCAGGAAAGAGTCAGCAGGACAGAGTCAGCAGGACAGAATCAGGAAAGAGTCAGCAGGACAGAGTCAGGATAGAGCCAGGAAAGAGTCAGCAGGACAGAGGGAGCAGGATAGAGTCAGGACAGCGTCAGGACAGAGTCAGGATAGAGTCAGGACAGAGTCAGCAGGACAGAGTCAGGACAGAGTCAGGATAGAGTCAGGACAGAGTCAGCAGGACAGAGTCAAGATAGAGTCAGGACAGAGTCAGGATACAGTCAGCACAGTGTCAGGACAGAGTCAGCAGGACAGAGTCAGGATACAGTCAGGATAGAGTCAGGACAGAGTCAGCAGGACAGAGCCAGGAAAGAGTCAGCAGCAGGACAGAGTCAGCAGGACAGAGTCAGCAGGACAGAGTCAGCAGGACAGAGTCAG